CTTCTAAGTAATAAACTATGTAGTACAAATAGCACCAATATACTATTAAGTGGTTTGCTATGGAGTGTCTTGAATTGTGCAACTAACTACATGCCACCCGCAGAGCCGCAGCGCATCCCACATACCTATATAGACCTGAACTACGGAAGGGTTCAGACTCAAACCACCTATTCCATTCTAATCTCAACATAATTTTATATATAATTGATATCACCCCAAGTTTTGTTTATACTAGATATCCTGCTGATTGCTGGTCTTAAGGCACTGAAGGAACTAGATAGACCGTGTGTCCGGACTCCGGGTCGTATGGGCACGTAGGTTGGAAGCTAGCGCATGGTGTCATTGTGCTGTGTTTCTCAGCCAGCCAGGACATATGGTACGGATAACTCTCAGTAGCATGCACGGGATGCGCTGCTTTTCTTTCTCCACAATTCAGCTGACGGATATGAGTTCCGTAGGACCTAACTCTAAGCGAGGCCGATAGATCCACTCTGAAGAACACTAGCATCGTGGCAGGGTGCGAAAAGATCGTGTGTGGAACCGTCTCGTCCTAGTATATTTTGTATGCAGCGAGCAAATCCATGGAAGGAAACGATCTTCGTACCTATCCACAGGGATCAGCACGATCTTTTCGAGCCCTGCCACAGTGGAGGATAAAGCATCGGGTAGCTGTTGCGGTGCAATCATGCCTGGTAATTACAAATCCGATGACCTTCACTGTGGCAAGTGGCCCATGTATAGACATATCGGTTTCTGAACTAGAGGATTGATGGGAGATGTCAAGGAGAAGTTATGGTCAGCGTGTTGCTCTTTGTTCAAAGTGCATTCATACTAGCGTTATACCCTATGTACGACTAGCAACCCGTCATTTCCCACGGTATATGAGAAGGTTTGAGGCCTCTGCAGCAGGCTCATGGTGGAGCCATTGGGGATACACGTAGCTTTCGCAAGAGACACTACTCCGTATGTATAATGAGTACCCAGTTGTCGATGCGGGTCGCACACGATGGGATCCTATAACCGAGAAAGTTTATACAATGGGCTCGTCCTGGGCAATTGGGCAGCATTTACGTTCCCTTTTCTTTTCTTTCTTTCTTTTCTTTCTTTTCTTTTTTCTTTGTTTATTTTTATTTGTATTTGTATTCTTTTCCCGTCTATCCACGCATGTACACAGAGGACGGTTAAGTAACACACTAACACATCCGACACTCCGACAAGGTTGTCCGTGGTGTCCGCCATTAGTGAAGAGCAATCAGAGTTTTTATCTATAAGGTGGTCATATTTTGATCCAACTACTCTCTTATTCCTTCCACTACGTTGGACTATGAATTCCACCTTGACGGCCATCGATCCCTTCTTAGGGAAATCTGCCATGTTCGTTTCACTGGTAGAACTGCATAATTGCAGCCATGGGTTGAAGCTGTTGAGGCTCGCCGCTGCGATCCTGGCAGTGTCGCTGTTGCTATTTATGATCAAGTTATACCAGGCCCGGATGAAGTTTAGGAGGCTGAAGTCTCAAGGCATTGTATGTTTCAAGTTCGACCCGAGCAACCAGGATCTAACATGAGATAGCCGATAATGTCCCATTCCCTAGTCTTTGGCCATCTTCCAGTTGTCCTCCAATTCTACCGAGACTGGGCATTTGATGCAAACTTGGTTCAGAGCTTTGGCTACTATATGAGCAAATATTGGAAAAAGTTCTTCCCAAATGAAGACAGATGTCCTCCCGTCGTATATGTCGATATATGGCCAATGTCAAGGCCAATGGCATTTTCTATGGAGGCGTATGTATCTAATCAGATGTCAATTGGGACCAGCTTGCCTAAGTCGCCTATGCATGGTGAGTTCCTCGGACCAATTTCGGCTGGGAAGGATCTCATCTGTATGCATGGCGATGAATGGCGTATGTGGCGCTCGATGTTCAACCGCGGCTTCAGTCGAGGTAATATTAGAGCCTGGGTACCTGCCATTCTGGAGGAGGTTGAGGCATTCTCGAACATGTTAAGGAATCTTTCCGGCGGCAACGGAGGTTGGGGCCAGGTGTTTCCGCTTGAGCAAATATCTAGTAACTTGGCATTCGATGTGACAGGAAGAATTCTTCTGTGAGTAAATCGATATTAATGTGAAGTACCGTTCTTCAGGCTAATAGCTACAGTGACACACGGCTCAACACTCAGTCACTGTATCCATCTCAGTTTACCCTTGCCTATCGAGAACAACTAGAACGCATGGAGATTACCTTCAGTCCCCGCAAGCTTCTTTGGAGGGCGACACCGTTTTTTAAGCTGCTTGTGCAGCGCAAGAGAGACGAGCTCTTCCAAATCCTTCGACCCTCCATTATGGAAAACCTAAGCGCGCCTAGCAAAGGCCCGCAAACCATTGTGCAAGCCGCAGGGGAGGACCTGAAACGGGTCGCCAGCGCTAAAGGAGAAGACAAAGATGGTCCCCTGGATGAATCCCTGGTCAAGCATGTGTTCTTCCATCTGATGGCCACCTTCTTTGGGGGCGATGATGCGATCTCCATCACACTCCCTCGGATATTTAAGCAGCTCCAACAGCATCCCGAATGTCTTGCTAAATTGCGGGCTGAACACGATACCATTCTTGGCCCTGATCCAAGTGCAGCTGCCCAGAGACTTCGAGACGAGCCCCACATTTTGGATTCGCTGAAATACACCCTCAGTGTCATCAAGGAGACATTACGCATTAACCCAGCTACGATCACGATCCGGGCAGGCCAGCCTGACTTTAACTTTCATATCAAAGACTCCCACACCGTATGGCCGACAGCTGGATTCGATCTTTTTGACTCCTCTATCACCATCCATAACGATCCTGCCAATTTCCATGAGCCCTCTGAATTCATTCCGGAGCGGTACCTGGTCCCAGCAGGCGATGTTTTGCATCCGGAGAAGGATATGTGGCGGGGCTTCCAACTTGGTCCCAGGAGGTGCCTTGGACAGGAATTAGCCATCGTCGTCCTCAAGCTGGTGCTGGTGCTTGTTGTGCGTGACTTGACGTTGAGATGGCCTGGGAAGAGTGGGACCGGCTCCGAGAGCAACAGGGGATCAAATTCGACAAGCAGACAGTCGAAGGCGAGCGGATGTACACCGCTGGGAAGGCAACCGCGCATCCAAAAGACGGTGCACCAGCACATGTGAAGGTCCGGAGCCCTTCCAAGGAATAAGATACTATAACAGATCCTAGGCTTACGGACTCATCGCGCGGTTTGCTGGGGATGTGAGGGCTTTGCTTTGGTGGTGCATGTATTCCCTCTCGCTGTCCCCTTTGTATACGCGATGTAAGGAAATGGAGGCATGCTTCAATTTTATATAAATGATTCGATATGAGTTGATATTGTCTACTTTCAAACGATTATTAATTGGACATGAATGACTACCTAATTTGACTATACATTGATCACTAATAGATTTGCCCTTCCATGGGCAACCTGACTTGAAAGCCTTCTAGTTGACATCTGCCAAGCGCGAAGACCACCTTAGGGCATATGCTTTAGGCTATAGTGTTTGTCGGTGTAAACCCTCAGCACTAGAGCAAAGGTCTGTAAAGTTTTTTTTATCGCTGATCTCGGCAAATGTGCGTATAAACTAGTATCCACCCGGTTACATTCGTGAGGGACTTTTCTGCCGATCAAATCGCAAGGTTTGTTCTAGTCTACAACTTGCATTCGGCAGACTTTACGCTAGTAGTGTTGGTCCACAAATGCAGTAAGTTTCTTTTAGCGTCAATTTAATACTGCCGGCTAAGCACCGCCTACTTTGGAGCCTTTGATAGCCCACCCTGTGATTAAACATTCAAGCCATATCAGTCTTCATACGGCTTCCACTAACTGAATAGTGCTCGATTCATTTCAGTTCTATTTGTACTTTTCTAGCACAGACCAAAGTCGCCAAATTTGGAATTGTCTCATAATTGCCCACCCTATCAACGCACTAAGACATCAAACAAGAACACCAACATGAATGAAAGAAACAAACATAAAAACCAAAGAAACATAATCCCACATTTATTCCTGAACCTTATAGCGTGGAGCAGTTGCATGCCAATAGCCACTTCCTCCTACGTACAACTCAATGGCTTCAATGTACTGTAAAAGTGCGGGAGAGAGGGTGTCGGGCGTCTTCAGCAATTTCTGCTTCAGCCGGCAGGCCTTCTCCTCTTCGTCGACAATAAGACCTCTCAACAAAGGCTTTGCAACAGCGTCTGAAACATTATACTCGTTCATCAGCACCTTGACCGCGTTCCGCACTCGATCGGTCTTCTGGTTCTTTTCCACATTCCAGCTGTAGTAGTCATTAGTCAGACCCAGAATGACGCCCATGCTGAAGTCGAAGTCGCGGACTAATTCATACTCCGCATCGGTAAGAACCAGCCCCATACCCCAGCGAATGAAATAGGATGAGATCCTGTGTCGTATGTTGCATCAGTAAATGTTCACGAAACGGGAGTCAACATGCACGATGTCACTTACCAATACCCGCTGTTCGCCACCCGGTAAGGGTTGTATTTCTCCATGGAGACAAAGTCCTCGTCACTGCTATCGAAGGTTCTCAAATAGTCCGAGAGCACCTCCACCAGTGTTGCTGCGGCGTCAGGGTCCATGGCGCTTGCCCTCTGTACGTGCAAGCCGAATAGTGCTTCCCGGGAGTTGAACGTGCCAGCCGGTGCATTCATGAGCTTCTCAGGATCCATGGCATCGATCAGGATATCATGCTTTATGCAGGCTTCTTTGTGCTCCAGTTCTTCGGTGACATCTACGCCCGTGGGTTAGCCTCTCATCTGAGACAGAAGGGAGCATTTGCAGAACGGGTGCTTACCGTCGTTGATCCAAGCCAACTCGATGATGGAGGAAAGAACAACCAGTCTGTCCGGGAATGCAGTGCAGTGACAGATTGCAAAGGGCTCATTGTCGGCAGTGAGGTGGCGGGTCCTCGCCTTTTTGCCTTCTTTAGAGCCTGGCTCGCACGATGCGTCAATCACTTTATTAAGGGCATCGACAACCTCAGCGGAATTGTGAGCAATCCCAGCTGGGAACCGACTAAAGTGTTCCGGGACCTCGAAGGCATTGATCGAATCCCATGTGTTAGGTACCATGATGGCGCAATTAGAGAAGCGGTATAGGACAAAGGTTGAAGACACGGGAATGGATGAACGAGGTAAGCAACTGAGATCTTGGACAGAAATCTTTTGACACAAATGAAAGCCAGGCGTACGTTAAAGACACTGCTATATATGCACAAATTGCTCCCAGGATTTAGGCAGGAAGCTCGAGGACGATTTGATAGAGCTGCCTGGGCTGATATTACTCGGAAGGAAACAGGGCTTCTCATTCGGCGTAGCAATATGGAGTATTAAGTTCAGCATAGTGTACAATGGTGCCTTTCGTGGACCTTGTTAACCGACCCCTACTCTACCGTGTTCAGCTCTATTGTGGGTAGCCTGTAGCAGTGAACAGCTGAAAAGCACAATACCGTTAACTGAACAGTACGAGTAACTGTTCTCCTAGTGCCACGTCCGAAGGCAGAGACGTTTGTTACAAGACTTACTACATCAGCTCCCAAGGACCCGGGTTGCCTTCGCTTAACCTTCTAGCCGAAGCTGCAACTTCGATCGAACTCAAAATCAAGATCGTGTTGCTCCCTGTGGGTGAGTTCGGAGATCTTTTCCTCCTACAAATTTTTGCCAGCTATCTATAACATATGATAGGACGTGGCAGTGGGGATAAGCTGCCACAGTGGTTCTGATAGCTCCACACACGACCCACAGTAGCCCACATATGCTATGCAAGTATATCGGCTATGTGCCGAGGTGCACTGCATATATTAGGCTAGTATTAGCAGGAGATTATCCAAGCTTGCCAAACCTAATCTCAGCAGAAATCTTGACGCCCACTTTTTCATTCCGATGCAGAGGCTGATCTGAAGCCCCGTACAGACCATATAAAAAGCGGTGTGACGTAAAACTGAAGGTCCACTTTTTTTTCCCCATCCTCCGTAGTATCATTTATAAATAACTACGATACACAGGATTTGCCCGATGAAGACAATCCAATTGGGTGACTGAAGTAGATCACTATCTAAAATTCCCCCAAACCTCGAGATAGGGCAGAACTTAGAAGTAGAATGGATCTTCTTAACCAATTATATAATATTCGAAAATAATCATAGTCCCGTATTTTAGTAGCTATAATCTGAGTAGTCTCGGTGTTTTACCTGCAAATAAACTAATAACAATAAACATATATTTCTTCGCCACAGTATACATTACTATGAGAGTACCCTTGGTCTCTTGACTACAGAGACGCATCAATCAATATATAATCCAACATATGTAGAACCTTTAAACCTCGAGTGATAATATTCACTAGGCCAGGCAGAGAATTCATTATAAGCAGCCCTCATGCCTAATTCAAAACCCTTGCAAAATGAATTGCTCATAACGAGGTTTTACTGTACATGGGGGATCCACATTCCAGAACGTTCGGTCTCTTTCTGATTGTTTTCTAGCTTTGGTAGACCATATAGTTACATAGTTTGTACCGAGGGGAGTGGGCATGGTTCAGGTCCCAGAATCCAGATCGTCCCAAACGCTAAGTCCCACATTCATGTTCGAACTCAGCTGTGCCGGTCACTCTGACCGCTTCTTTGCTGGAGTGAGAGTATGAGTTTCTATGACTATTGAGGCTTTCAGCTAGCCACCAGGAGGCATGATGTAAGTGCAAGAATGCTCTGGTCCCAGAACTATCAACTAGCCCTTCGTGGCTGCTCGTGCATATATTTAGCCTCAACATTTATTTCCCCAAATTAGTCATCCAACCACAGTAAAACGTTTGAAAACGCAATATCAGTGATAGAGGCTTATTAAAGTTGGGGACCCAAGACACGGTTATTAAGTTCATATGCGGATACTAGAATACAGAAGACTAGGAATAGCTGCGCCCCGACGAGCCACAAGTCACTCCAAGGCGGGGATATCAAACGGCCAGGTTGATCGTAGGGTTTCCCCGTCCTTCACAGGCTCATCCTCATCCAATTCTTGATTTGTTGTAACAGCCTCCAACATCCCGGTAAACACCTCCCTATGAGCCAATTCCGTTGCTTCCCACTCTTCAGGAGGCACCCACCCATCGGACGCTGTGTTGAGCAGGGTTGAGAGATCGCGTCTTAGAACCTGTGCCGCCTCGAAGAGTTTGTATTCCTTCTCGTGTTCGGCTAACTCGTTTGGCGTGGGTAGAGTGTACAGACACTGGCCTGGAAGTCCGAGCTCTTTCCAATGTCGAGCTGCTTCAATCATATCGTGGCGTAGTGCAACTGCCCCGTCCTTCCATGTCCTGTAGCTATAACGAAAAGGTCGGAGGAGGGTTTCGTCCATCAGCCGAGGGCCAGAGAGAATGGGTGTGAGAAACCGAGAAGATAATTCAAATGCTTCAGCATAAACAGTATCTCCAGTGTCAGTAGAGACTGCAAAATCTGGTCTCTCGTCTGAATACCAGAAAGCTGGCTCAATACTTGTCGCCTGCCAGTCAATAATGCCTGTAATCGTGGTAGGGTCGTCATCTGAGACAAATATATTCCTCTTATGTAGATCTGGGTGGAATAACAATGGCACAGCAGCTTCTGCAATTCGATGATCGGCAGACATTTGCTTTAGCATAGCTCGAGCACTTTCTAACAAAGACCGGTGTATTCTGGTTGAACCGTGATAGAAAGGTTTGTTATCGTTGGTATAATCAACTGGGGGGAGTCTTGAAAGACCTGCGTCAATGAGACCATCACAGAACTCACCAATACTACGCCCTGAGTCTTTGTTAGAGCAACTATTTAGATTAAGAAGATGGTCATCACTTGCATGGTCCTTGGTTGGGCTGCACACTATGATAATGTCTCTGTTCACCAACATTACAGTCCCAATACCGAGTTCCGCAGTGTGGGCCAATGCAAAATTCGTTATCCAAAGGATGTACACCACCAAAATGGGGATGATTAGCGAAGTACAGACTCCCGAAAGCTGGAAACCGTAGGTCATCTATCTCTTTCATCTTTCGATAGATCGCATCTATGCACTTGACCCGCTGGTCACCAGCCATTTCGGGCCATTTCTGATGCAGCGACACGCCTGGAGCATGTTCCATGATAATATATTCGCTACCAACAGTGTTATTGGCACTTGTAGCATCGTTGCTCCAATCAAGAATTCTGGGAATAGGAAGACTAGTCTTGCATTGTACTGAAACGAGTGTGTAAGTATTGAAAGGGGATATTTAATTGGCTTATACTCACGGTAGTTTATAGTAGCGACTTCCGAGGATGTCGTTAGTTTCGCTGGTCCAGCAAGAGCAAATGGGAGTCTCGCCACAGCCCGCCTGGCGTCGTTTAACATAAAAAGAAATACTCGATTGAAACCTCCTTCCAGTTTCTTGCAGTCTGTGATCGTGTCTGCGCCAGGTGAAACATCGAGGACCCTCTGGCAAAGTGCATCGAAGTTGAATTCAATGTGGCGAGCGGCACGTTGCAACTTGTCCTGCCGCAACCACCGGCCACTGGAGTAAGAATGAGGATCGAAACCAAAAGCCTTATCAGAATCAACGGGGAAACGGTTTTGTGGGAAGGGAGATCCGCCGGATGCTGACGTTGAGATCATTGTATAGGCGTTCGGAAGCTGGGCGGCAGAAGGTAGAAAGGGATGGATGTGATTATTCGACCTGGTCATAACGCGAGTACAGACACGCTTATGACTGGGAACCAATGTAGCCCATAGCCCTCGGCTCATCGTGTTGGTGCACGTCGCACTGCCTTGTCGAGAGGAAGGTGATCAGATCCACCTCTGCGCGCGGTGTTGAGTTTAATGTTCAATACCAGTAAATCATGCACGCGCGTTGACCGTGTTCTCACTGACCAGTCATTTACCCCCACCAACATTCACTGGTCAATGGGATATCAGCATCGTTGCAATGTTACCAGCACACCACCGGAAACTACAGATTGAAAGGTGAATCATAAACCGATCATATTTTGGTGCCAGGGTCTGGAAGGGATCTAGGTGAAACAGGTTTGTTAGTAGAAACCGACCAATATCTGTTCCTGACAGGCTTGGTGGCAATAGGTATTAGTAAATACATATTCTGGCAACTCGAATCAGGCGGCATAGGTTAGGTGGCTCTGTATACAGTCGCGGTATTCTAATGATTGACCTTTCCATCTGCTGACACGTTTCTTTAGGGGATCCCATTTCCCTGAGAGGCGTCTGTCCACCTTGATGTGAACTTGGATAAGCGAAAGTAAGTCATGCAAAACCCACTACAGCTTATTTCAATGCCAAAAATATAAAGAAAATTAGCAGTACTTGTCCTATCTATAGATTGCCCTAGATTCTATTCTCAGTTTTGTGAACTGGAGACATTCGAACTTTCATCACTATCATTGATACATCTACGAGCGCATTATGCACCCTGTTTCCCTTTCAGACAGAGTTTTCAAGAGATCTAAAGGATACCATGCAGTACGTACATTCGACCAAACCTCTAAAACGAATATTCCTTAGAATAGGAGAGACCGGCAGCGAATCAGATCCAGCCACACTCGGCCAATTGTGCCTACCGGAGCGGCCGGATGACACGGTGCCATACACAAAGGACGGCCTAATGGTTTACTTACCTCCTCCTGGTAGGCAGTATGGGCGACTCCAAATTGCAGAACTATCTGAAATCACTCGTTGCGTGAATATTTCCACCTGAATCGGCCCCACGCGTGGTATCTCATATCGGCGAAATATGATCGTCAGGAACGATGGCTTCTATCTCCGATATCCGGTCCTTTTGTTTGACAGAATGTATACATGGAAAGGTACTCTTGAGTAGGGAAACTTTCATTCTGCCTTATAGTCCACAAGAAAACATAGGTAGATAATTTCTTTTCTTTTCGTTGGATAACCAGTCTCTGCTGCATAGTAGAGGTTCGTCAGTGTCGAGCTATCTAAGTATTTCACAAAGCAATGCGTTTCCAGAAATGGTTTGTTAGAGCCAGGTTGCGGGGAACTCGCCGCTTGCCGTGATAGATGGCAAGATTCCCTTATACTCCCGACCATCCGGCACGGCCACAGCCTTCATACATGAGTAGTAACCGCTATGATCAGTGCTGTACTTATTAAACCAGCAGTTAACGCGTACCCAGCCGATAGGTATTTGGCCAGGTGGTATGTCGTTTCGACGAACGGCACAGGACAATTTAACGTGCAAAGGAACATCTGGCGTGATCAGTCTGAAGCACGTCCATATATAATGACATGATTCCGTGGTTGGCACCTGCATGGTCAAGGATGACGGGTTCTGGATAATGGAAGTACGGCCGTGTCTCCACGCTGTGATCGTCGCCTCGGGGGCGCTGATTTCGATCTTTCCAAAGTCAATATCGTCATTATCGGCACCAACTTCCAGATAGCACCAAGCAGATCGAACGGTTGTGAAGAACGATGTAGCCTCCTTGATCTGCTTGCCGGCTTGTTTGTGTTTGTCATCGGGGCTTTTTTCGAGGAGGCGGCAAATGCTGTCCACCTGCACCTTCATGATCGCATCCGTGGCACCTGTCTTTCTCGATCTGGCCCATGCATCAAAGTTATCCTTGTTTGTGGGATCTTGGGCCAGTATAGCCGCTGCTCCAGCATCGCCACCTCTGACAACACACTCCGACTGGCGGAAGTTTGAATACTCCTTACGCTCGGTCTCAGTTGCCACTTGCCCTTGAATGCTCGCAACGTTTTGATATTCAGCCTTGATACATGCTCTGAAGGTCTCTTTAGTGGTGTTTTCCTGCTTGCCCGAGTTGACGTTGAACTGGTATCGTGTGCCGTAGTTGAGCTTCCCGATGTAATGGCTACCCCAGCTTTCAAAAAACTCTTTGTAGGCTTGGATCACTGCGGAATCTTCGATCGTCCATGGCGGTAGCTGAAGGATGGCATCAACGAGCTCGCTATTGATAAACTCGTATGTGCTGCCATGAGGCTTCAACCTGACGCTGTAGTTGTCCTCATTCATGCTATAGACCCCATACATGGCGCTGCTCTCGATTGAAGTTTCCATGGAATAATGGACCTCTCCTGACGCCGAGAACCCAAAGTACGATGCGCTCATCGAAGCATCCGCACTCATCTTCCTGATAAGTTCGGATCCTGTCTCGACTTCAAGAGAGTGCGTCGTGGCCGTTGGGCCGGGACGGTCTATTTCAAAATTGCCCGGGATTACCCAGATGATATCTGATTCAGGAATATGGTCCCCTACGTCGTCAGGGGAAGGTTTGACGATTATCGAACCATTCATGTTCCCTAGGAGAGATGCCAAATTGGTCACATTTTCCTCTGGATAAATAGTTAGTGTTCGTGATTTTCGATTCCTAAAATGAGAAGAGGTGGTACACACTCTTGCCTAAGAAAAGACTTCGTCCAACGAAGTTGCGGGATGGGTGCGTCTCATGGGAGCCATCCGAGCCAACGGAAGCGCTATTCGTATCGAGCTGTTGACTCTTTGCCAAAGGGGGGCTTATTGGACCATGATCGATGAGTGTCTCACGCTCTGAAGAACTCTGCCCTACGGCTGGCTGACCAAAACGCATAGTGAACAAACAATTGTCTATGATTCTTATTTTCTGGTGAGCAAGTCAACTTGGTGCGGCCTGTCAATACCAAAAGCAGCAGCATTTAAGTAGGAGCAGTGAAAGGATATCCTGAACTTGAATTCCGAAGTCATGAGATAATCGTGCGCGATTAATGCGAACTTGTCTACTCGATGATGAGTGTAATTTCAGACTTTTCTCGAAATATTACAGTTACTGTGGACCGGGGCTAGGGAAAGCCAAAATAGAAAGAGACTCCGTGAGGATCTCGATTCCGATCAGATCTCCTCTGATTTTGTAGGCTGGCCATTGTCTATGACGTCTATACATTCGCCAGTCATCTTGCTCGGCAGCAGGCTATGCGTGAAATGGAATAAAGTTAGCGATAGCTTCAATGTCGAGAATCAGCTTCACGGGACTCGGCCACTGCCCCAACCATGTGATTGGAAGTCCATCAAGGTCGTATCTACATGTTGCGATGGCAGTGGCTGTCAAGTCCGACATACCCAGCCAGTTCCATGGGTCTAGCGTCCAGTCCCGTTTCCGTCGATTTTCTGGAACTATCCATATCTCGGGGCCGGATTTCGGACAGTCCCCGGAAACCCTGAGGACCAGAGAAGCTTCCTGTTCTTAGGAGTGTCATCTCGACGTCTGGCACGATAGGCCAGTCAGCACATGGGTATTGCTCGATAGTTAACTATGATTATTGGTAGATAGGTGGCTTGATCATAAGATAGGGGGCGCAAGCTCTGTGATGTAGAACCTAGTACATCAGATCATGGACGCCTAGCCAAATAGGTGCTGAGACCACGGTCCTACGACCGACGGGGTCTAGGGCCCGACAACTGGCGGCTACAACAGATTTAAGACCCCTCTGGCCCTCTTATCATGCTCCTGCGACATCATCGGTCTACCGACCATCTATTATTATTGGAAACTCTTATAAAAGCTCGATCTCAACCCTGCTCTGACCAAGGCATGTCTCCTTCGGTACTGGGAGGTTTAACTGAGTATCGAGTTCGGTGTGCTTTGGCTTTTCGGATGGTTTGTCGGTTCAAGTAAAAAGAGTCCACAAGCTTCAGCAAATTATTAAATACCAAGAAAAATTGTTAGGTATCACATTTATCGCATCTACTATAGCTGAAGTAAACCCTAACCCAATATAAATTGACCTGTCTTGAGACAGCCCACGTCCTATGTCGATTATCTTGTAAGTCTAACCGGCCTGTGAAAACTATCACATAGTCGTGATTATCTCAAGCCAGAGATTATTCCAAATGGATGCTCACATAACTTATTTTGTCTCAAGAGGATTCTCATAAAAGGAAATCAGTCATAAAACAAGTATACCAAGATTCTAGTTCTAAGTCGCTTTACGTTATATTAGTATTTTTATGTAAATATATTCTTATTTCCACCCTTTTGTAACCGAGCTAATAAGACATTCTACACATTTCAAATACCCATCTAAGACCTTACTCTCGTATAGCAGTCATAATCAAGAGCTTTTACACATTCCTGTCTACCACATGTGTCTGGCGGTGCCTAATGAAGATTTACATGAGATTTACACACCCCTGGGAAGCCGCTCTCGTTCCACTGATTCCCATGAGTTCGTCGCAGCGCGGGACGATATAGACAGTCATTGACACACTGGTGGCAAAGCTGTACCGTCTAGTTCTCATATTTAAAAGGCGGAGAAAGAGGACAGAAATGCTATAGGGTTTATTGAACTCTTCCGTCTGCGACTGCGCAGGGAGTGGAGGAGAGCCGCGATCCACGTTTTTATGCGGTACGCAACGATTTGCTTCGATTGAAATTGAGCCCCTGATAATATTTCTCTCGCGTATACACATTTGACCTCTTGCCTCCAAGGAAACAAACACCACCAAACAGCAAAACCGTGATTGCCCATATTGGTAGCGATTGAAATAAAATGGATCATTGCTGTTTTACTTTATATATGAGTGTAACATTGTAACAAAATGGTTTGGGGCTGTATGGGTAAAACATAGTAACAATGAGAAACAGGTCGGAAGCGTGTGCCCCAGAGCCCACCATGTTTCTTTACAATTGCGCAAATACTTCTGTGTCTATGTACGACCCAAGATTCTCTGCATGGTTTTTTATTTATTTAGAATGAGAAAAATCACACGCACAGGGTTATAAACAAGGGTAGAGAAAGTCGATAGCGTAGAGATCACATCCCCTACGGTTTGCAATTCTTCAAAAAGCCTCGTTTAGCATAGACGGGTGACCGGTGCAGAAGATACTGCTCTTTTTGAGGAGCTGCTCGGATGATCTCCTGGAATGGCATGATGGATCTGTCAGCCCCCACGGAGACCCTCCAGGACAATCCCGAGTGTGTTTCATCCTCTTTATTGACCAGTTCCCATTGCAGATACACATTCGCATAGCCACTAGGCTGCGAGACCCGCATCTGATTCAGTGTGCCAGTGATCTGCGAATAATCTAGCCAAAGTCTCTGACCAGGCCCTCGGATACCACAGAACGGATCAAAGTGCTCTGAGAAGCCAATTGTTCCAGCAAAAACGCCCAAGAAATCTCCTTCACGTAAAGGAACAATAGGACAAACAGATAGATGTCCATTATCTGTAGGTAGAAGGGATATAAAGATAGACTTATTTTTCGAGAGTTCTGAAATAGTGTGATTGTCATATGGGTTCCACAATTGGGTGGGTAGACCTACCTTGGGCTCAGCCAGTCGAGAAGCAGATTCCTCGTCTCGGGAAATCCACATATTGGCAGCATCGTTCCATGAGCTCCCTGGAACTTCCAGCTTTTGGGCCACGTGTGGTTCGTCCAGATATAATATAATGGCTATCCACAAAAGGATGGACTATTGAACTACTGGTGCTTCTAGTATATAAAATCCCTGTCTCTAGGTGGAGTCCAGAATCAGAATAATCAAAAAACAGGAACAGTTGATAGTGGATAGCCGGCCTACGAACCCTTGCAACGCTAGCGAAGGGAGCGTTAGTCTTGTTACATAAATACCTCGCGTAGCCGATAGTCTTCTATTTTATTTATCTACCATTGTTTCCAGGGCACAACAGTTCCACACAGCCTACTCTTCCTTTCTTCGAGTGGTGCTAACATATTCTACTGTCGGATAGAACGCAATGGGTACCAATGAAAAAGCTACTCCGCCGATTTCTCAACCATCCTCTCCGCCAACACCTTCGCGAGCTGTTACTATCCTTCGGAGTATCGTACGAAGTCCGCGGGCGTAAGTGCGGTCCTATATATTAATGCTATAAAATATCTGAAGCTAACTATTTAGCTTACCTTTTATCGCACTGATCACTCCGCCTGTGCGATGGTTTTGGAATTACATGGGATGGCGTAACGGAGGAGACGTGGCCTATTCGCTAAACCTCGGACTATTAATACTGTATTTTATCATATCGCAATATGTTCGCAGGTACGATTGATGGACTGGAAGACAATAATTTATTATACTGAATAACAAATCTTCATCTGCCCACCCTAACTATCTGTGCCGGAATGAAACTCCAATACATGCAGTCCGTTAATGTTCTACACTTAAGACCTGCTATCTGCATCCTGTGTTTGAGGTCCTTGCCTGACCGAGTCCTCTAGGAGTCGGCGATGCGGGGTTCGGTGAGATACTTGTCCCATAGTCCATGTCACTTGTCATCGCTACCTACCCAAGGCAACAGAAAAGGCCTAAATTCATGCATCCATGATCCTCTACCCAAATGATAATGCCTTCGCGCTTTCTAGGGGGTTGGGAGGGTGTGGAGTGTTGTTCCCAACAAGACACCTTACGGAGAACTCTGGAATTGCGATGTTAGGTATCCACTTTGCCCTACAGGTGTAGGGCTGTTCTATGTACGGCGGAGTAGTACCATAGTCGACAGCCCACACCACAGTCATACACAAATTAACATGTACCGGTGTTCACATCTTTACAGGAGTCTTTCCCTACACTGACAATGCTGTCCGGAGACTTTTGTAAAGTATCAACTCCACTTCTGGACCGTCCCACACCTTATGGTCTTTCGCTAGACTAGTCATCATCGGGATGATGCACAGGGCCAGGCCGGATAACCGAACACATGCTAAACAAAAGCCGGCCATGAAGCTACCTTCCGGGTTTGGCAAATGCGCCGCTATGTCTCATGTGCAAATTGTATAGTAACCAAAAATCGGGTACGCTCCACGGAGTAACGTCCAACGCTGAACACCGACATACAGCTATAAATATTGAGTAATGAACCCCTAAAAAAACTGATCTCTTCAGTAGCAACAACCGTCCTAAAACATCACCATGAAGTTCTCAATCCCCCTTCTCTCTCTCCTGGCCACGAGTCAAGTTACTTTGGCGGCACCTGCTGCTACGGTTGATGTTGCTGAACTTCCTTCAGATACTATCCTTGACATCCGGTCTTCTAATCCGTCTGACAAAGCCCTGGCGGTTCTAGAGCAGAGGGCTACTAGGGTCTATAAGATACTCAACCGAACAGTTCGTAGCATTGGTACTAGCAAATTCACGTAAGGCGCATACTCCTCTTGATACCCAATAGCTTTTAAGAGACTAATAATTTCTAGGGTTGTCTATGTCGTAATGGGCTCGCGTCTTGTTCGACAAGTCTGTGAATATGCCGGTGGCAGTAGGTGTGAAGAACTATCTTATATTATTTCAGATGGTCTACGCTTGGCCTATACCGCTGCCGCCCACTACTCTGGATCTATTCCCGAATGTCTACCGGGCAAGCGTGACGTCGATTATTCTCAGGACTATCTCCAGATGTGGGAGACTATGCTGTCCAGTAGTGATGATATATCCTACGAAAGCCTCTCTCCTCTCTCGATTTCCTCGGATACTATTGCCTTAGCTAGACGTCAGGACGAGCCTTTACCAACCCACAGATTCCAGATTACTGGTTTCGCCGTTGACGACTCTCCGAAGCACGATATCATCGCCAACCACTATGAAAACGGTGAAACCGTTCTTCACCTGCCACTTCTACGAGGGGACTCTGGTACAAATAACACTGAAGGATCCAATTTGCAAAAGCGATTCGACAACCCTGGGTTCAAGATCGCGTTCACTACCAGGGAAAGATCGAAGCTCACCCAAGCCCATCAAAAGTCTATGGCACTGGCGGGGGCTGCTACATGGGCTGTCTATGCGGACAACGCCAACCACAAGATGGATGACTTCATCGGTTTTGCTGAGACTGAACATGCGGCCAACTTTTACTACCGGATCATTCCGGAGATCAAGGGGTTCGGAACTAATTACGAGACTGTTGATATTTGCGGTGGAATGGCATCATACTTGTAAATAGATTCTGCATTTTGGTGAGATCTATGTCACGGGGCACGCACTGATAGTGTTTGAGACATGTCGAGGAAGCTGTGACTATATATATTAAAAGAGAAATGAAGGTTGAGCCATCGAAAATAAAAGCTGTTGAGACCAATATGGGCATCATGTCGGTTTAGTTGCACAGAAGCGAATGAAACCGGTGAGGTAGGGACAGAAATACACGCATAACTTGATTCGATGGTCATGAAGCAGGGCATGACTCCAGAAAGATATCTGATGCTACTTGATACCTTGATGAATGTATATCAAGGGAAGACCGCGCGAAATAATCCTGACAGTAGATGCAAAGACATACATACCACATTGGTCCTTATCACCAAAAACAACCGGTAGCTCATCAGTCAGGCCGCTCACGGAAGATCAGCATTAATACTGTAACGGAAACTTCTAGGCTATCTTCTACATCCTGTACCCCGTACTATTTCTGAGAATGTTTCCCGAGTTATGCCTGCGACACGTTGCGATGTGATCCACTTCTACTATACTATGGACACAGTGGTTCACGAAGCAAGAGTTTAGATGTGATTAATGAAATGACTATGTTCATGACGGAAAGTTGAATAAAGAAGGTTAGGGGGAAGCTGCACAGAGCAAGAGGGCGGAAATAAACCAGAATCATATCGTGGTCAGTGTATGCCCAGAAAGCCGTTGAGCAACAGGTTCACACTTCGCATAGGAAACAAACTATCGACCATCACTCACAGGCGAGTAACACTCCAGGGTAACGTTCTTTACTAGGGGAAGCCGGCACTCTAATTTTCTTTGTGCGGCGCGCGTAAATTATAGATCTTGAGTAATATAATTTACGTGATACACACTCGTAGTAATTCAGCAATCATCTCCAAAAGCTGTGGAGATATGGCTCTCTGGGGGCCGCAAAGAAGGGTCTTAATCTTATAAGCGGTTTCTTCTTGTGGTAATATTGAGCTCTTTGGTCACACGAGCTAAAGGATGAATCGGAGAGGAGGGAGAAAGCTTCTGGCAACAAAAACGACAAAGGAATAAGGGGCTATGGGGCACATTAACACGATCTGCTGAGTAAAGCAATGCAGGGCCATTCTAGGGAGAGTAAGATTTCAGTAAAAGATCCCAAGTCTGTCGTACAGATTTTGAATTACCCTTGCCTAAGTTCCTTGATCGCTGACTCGCCTGTGTCCCCACTCACCCCCACAAACTTGTAACTGGATGACGCAAAGTACCCTCCGGACTTTTAGTTGTACGTCTCCATCGATTATATGATTTTGTTAGAAACATGATTAAAACACCGGTAGTACATCGGAGAAACTTTTCATTCAGCCGGCCAGTCTAAAATTTTTGGTGGTAGTAAGAAATATGGCAGTAGCATACAGGAGTGTGGAAAATATTAAATTTAAGAAGCGGCCAAAGATGGAATGATCGAAAGAGTTTCAATATCCATACCGACCATCAGCTCCGGGTATTGAGTTCGAAACTCATCTGATAGACCCCAACCCTCGATTCTGGTGAAAGTATCATAGAATTCTTTATGTACTCGCAATGAATTCATCGTATCAGGTTCCAAAAAAGACTTCCCCCAAGGCCATCGGATTCTAAGACTGCATGTAAACGCGGCGAATACCACTTTGAGGTCGTATAAGTGGAAAGTCTTGACTATGTTCGCACGGAGAACTGGCCACATAACGAAGTCGATGCAACGTGAGTGTAGACTCTGTAGCTGGTCGTTTACGGCGTCCGAGGTAATCTGCCTTTGTCAATTGCTTCCTTTCTTGCTTCGAAAACCCAATCCATCCGCTGAAAACCTGGGCGGTTATCTGCCAAGAGGACCATCTTTTGGAATCGCGCTCAAAGGCGCCAAAAAATGGCCCGACCACTAACAATAACCATGATAACTGGATGCCAACATTCTCTCCCAGTTTTCCTGTGAACCTACGCGCGTAGCGATTGGTATTCAATTGCGGACTCCTTTTCCTTTCGGTATTTGTGATATCGAGATAAAGATAACGCGATTCTGGCTACTTGGAACCGCGTCTCTTTCCTTATCCAAAGCCTATCTTTACGGCTCTAGATAGATTCGATCGGTAGATACTTAGGCACCAAATGCAGAAAGCAACTTTCCCTTTACGTATAGTTTCTTGAATTTTTTTTTCTATTAAATTAAAAGAACTAAAAAGACAAATATATATAATCGCTAGTGGGAAATGAGGTGTAACCCTGATATATTTCGGTTGTGTACACTTCAGTGTTAGCTACGTAACCATCCCGCTAGAGAGATAGATATATCTCTATACACTACACAGCTGGCCGTGAGAAGCCGAAGGAACCTCTAAGGTCTTAACTATCTATATTTCCTCCCAGGCTAACTATATTATCTAGATATCTACAGTATACATAGCGCAGAAAGG